GGGCGGCTTGGAGGCAGAGTGCTTTAGTCAATCTGAAAGTCAGCGCGGCATTTCCTCGCCAAATTCAAGGTGACGTGGGACCAAAGAGGCGGACACTCCCCAGGAGTGGCAGTTGAATGTCGGGTGGGGCAGCCAGGACGGCCAACTGCAGCACAGCACAGCTCAGTACAGTACTGTCCTGTCCTGTAACTTACCGTACTACAGTACTGTAAGCTGCACTGTAGCTGTATCGTAGACTACTGCGCAGCAGTGTAGTCGCCTTCGCGCGTCGGTGTCTGTGCGACTGTGCGTGTGCAGTAGTGAAGTGGTGCAGCAGTGGTTCGTGACGGGTACACTATGCTCATCTGTACTGTACCTGCTTCCCAAGCCCTTGCCATGCAATGCGAGGGTGACAAAGATGATACTGTACTACAGTATACTCTCTGTGCGGTGCTTGTGGCTGCACAACGCCGCACAACAACGCCATGAACGTAGTCGCTGGAATCCTCCACCTTCACCTTGGCTCTGCGACTGTCACTGCCACTGGGCCTCATCACTTGGCCCTTTTCTCGGATCCTTGCGACACTCTGACCCGTCTTCTGGCGCGGCCAAAGACGCTGATCTTTTCGTATTTCTCCCGGCGCTTAACGCATGAAATGCTCAACACCTGCGCTCTTCTCGAGAGTACAGTATCACAAAAAGGCTTCCAAAGCCATGACCTTGGCTCCTTGCCGTTTGTGAGGGCGCGACTGTCGAACAATGGCCAAGCTCAGCGGAGGCAGAGAGAACTGAAAGGCGTCTCTTGCGACCAGAATGCGTGTCTACTCCAAAACTTCACGTCCCCAGCCGAGGCATAGTAATGTTTCCCTTTTCCCAAACCTGGTCGGGTCCAAGCACATCCGCGTAGCTCATCGACGTCAATCCCTGAATCCGGCGGTTCGCGACTCGATTATGGAATGTTGCGCAGTTGATTAATCTACCCTACTTGAACTGCACACCTCTCTGCTCCGGCACAGTGAATCCCAAGTGCCCCGTGTCGAGGCCGGTCATAAGGTTACGAAGGCAAACTGCCTCCATCTCAGTCTGCGTTTCGAGCGTCAGCGTGCCCACGTGTGGGAGCAGCTCTACTTTCGAGTCGCGCAGGCGCAACAGGCGCTCATCGATTGTCGGCTGTCGAGCAGAGCGCAAATAGACCAGGACAAGAGTGGGAATCGGTGTGAGTAAACAGTTCGTGTTTCGAAGAACGCCGCCTGAATTTACGAGTCCCATCGGAGGAACATGCTTACCTCGGACTCAAATACGTCAAGACCTGCTCCAGCGATGATGCCCTGCTCCAGCGCCTCGGCGAGTTCCGCCTCCTTGACAACGGGGCCTCGTGCGGTGTTGATGAGCACAGCATCCTTTTTCATCAATCTGAGCTGCTCAAGGCCGATGAGTCCCTTGGTCTGCGGGGTCATTGGGCAGTGGAGCGAGAGGACATCGGATCGCTTGAGCAGCTCCTCCAAGGAAGCAACGTACTCCATGCCGCCCTTGGCTGCTTGACCTTCGAGCTTGACGTCGAGCCGATTGCGATTGTGGTAGATGACCTTCATCCCCAACGCATACGACGCCTTGTAGGCGAAAGCGCGTCCGATGCCTCCGGCTCCGACAATACCGAGAGTCTTCGCACGAGGATCGCGGGCGGTCAGAAATGGGAATTTGGAGTTGAAAGTCCCGGCTTCAAGCTGAGCCTGGGCAAGCGGAAAACGACGCAGGGCACCGAGCAGAAGGTAGAGTGCGACGTCGGAGGTGGCATCGTCTACGGCCGACGGAACATTCGACGCCTGTACGTTGCTTCTCGATAGAGCTTCGACATCCAGCTGATCGTATCCAGCGCCGTTATGGACAATGTAGCGGAGACTGTCTGGCAGCTTGGCCACGAGTTCCTCGTCGAAGCGTCCGGTGACTTTGATAGAGCGAGCCGCGCCAAAGTGACGGTAGATACCGACAACGTCGGCGTATTCACCACCTTGCGAAAACTTCTGAATGAGGTCCTGACGATCCTTTGCTCTAGAAACGATCACCTCGGCCTTCCGAGAGAGAGAATCCAGCTCTGTAGTTGCGAGCTTGATCTCGTCCAGAAGCAACACTCTGGGCCTCGACTGGGAACGGCCGCAGCTAGAGTGAAAGGCGCTTGCACGACGCACCGACGGATGCAGGCGAGTGGCCAATCGGCGCAATGGGAGCCCAACGGACATCATTGTGGTCACACGCTCGAGAAGCGCTTTTGGATCCCGCTGCTGACGATGATGACGAGAAGATGAAGTTCTGTATCACCAGAGGCTGATGTGGGATTCTACGGAAAGAAGGACTAGCTGTGTTGTTTGATCCAGCCTGTATCGCTCGAGGTGTCCCCCACGTTATCTGTTACGGTACTGTACAGCCGCGTTGTTGATCCAGTCAGGACACACAGTACTGTACAGTACAGTAGTATATTCTGTATCAGCACTGGTGTGTTGCTCTCACTGGCATATGTAAGCATGACATTTTGGAAGCAGGGCGAGAAGTTGCCAGGGTCTCCATATTCCGCTAACTTACAGTACAGTACACTGCTTCCATGCGCCCAAGTTTTCGTCAGCTTCTCACGTCGGGTACAGTAAAAGTGTCGACTTGCTGCTAGCCAAAATTTCCCAAGAATTTTGACTTGGGCAGGATTAACAACGTACCCTTTCTCCTTTGCAAACATAGCTCCCCTCCGACCCGTCTCTTCCGCCTTTCATTATCCTTCTTCCTGTATTTGCACCTGCGACTGCTACAGGTGATCAGCAAGAGAATCAGTGACGCCACGGGCCTTCTCAGGAGGTCTCTCGACGCTGTCAACATTCGCTTGCTATTCACGACGCTCGGCTGGCCGTTTTTCGGCTGCTTGCGTCCTCAACTTGTTTCTGTGCCTTGGCCTCTCTGTGGCCAGCAACTTGCTCCAAAGACTTCACTCGCCGCCACCAAAAAGCACGTCGGAAAGTTCAAGCGGTGTCAGGAGGAATTGACAGCGGCGCAGCAGATCGCACAGAGCGAGCTCGAGCACAGACAAGCTTGGAATTCACTGCGTCGCAGCCTCACCATCCATCGCCTACATGTTCAATCGACGATTCGCCATCTAGAAGCATACAAGAACTATCGTGAGAATCCTCTCGCTGTCATATCAAGCCTCCTACTATATCTCAAACTTCCTTCTGCCGAGGTCGACCAACTCCGTGCTCAAGCCAAGCTTGATCTTGGCTTGCCACTGAAGCCCGCTGATAAGCGAGCTCTCAAAGCCGCTAGCCTGCCCGAACTAGCCATTGTCAATCACACGAGCGTACCTGACCACACTCCTTATCCGCAGCAGCAGCAGCAGCAGAGAAACGGGCCTGCGGCGACAGCCGCGGCTGACACGACTACATTGACAAAGTCACACATGATCACCGAGAAGAAAGGTCTAGATATTCCTGTTTCTCCGGCGGCGGTCTCCGCTAATAAGATAGACATGAAGCGCTCAGCCCCAGCAGCCGTATCTTCTAGTGCCGGCAGCAACTGGAAAGCCCTAAAAAGGTCTCTGACAGATGAGGCCTCAATCTCCTCTAAGCCTGGTGCAAAGCCGAAAGGGCCGGCCTCAATCAAGCCGCATGCCAATGGCAAGGTGACGAAAACCCAAGCGAGCGCCCCAACACAAGGTTTGGATTCGTCTGGCAAGAATATGCCCACGGGAAGCTCATCATCATCGACAGCACCAAAGCGTGCTCCTACCGCACTTCCGTGGTTCGCCGAAGACATCAGCACCACGGATCTTGAGCTGGTTCGACAATCAGCTGAAGACCTGAAAGGCAAAGCGATGCAGTGGGAAGGCATCGTCGATCCGCAACTCAAGAAAAGAATCATCCTCAGCGGTCTGCCCGACGATGCGTCAGAGGCCAAGAAGGAGCCGGGCAATTACCTAGCCATCGATTGCGAGATGGTGGGAGTCGGCTACAAGGGCAGCGAGTCGGTCCTAGCGCGGGTTTCTATTGTGAACTTCCACGGCGCCACCATCTATGACCGCTTTGTGAAGCCGCAGGAAAAGGTGACTGACTATCGAACCTGGGTCTCGGGTGTTCGACCTAAGGACCTGGCCAGGGCGCCTTTGTTCAGCGAGGTGCAGAGTGAGGTGGCCGCATTGATCAAGGGCAAGGTGCTTGTGGGCCACGCCATCCAGAACGATCTCAAAGCGCTGTTGCTTTCGCACCCAAAGCCATTGATCCGCGACACGGCCACCTTCCAACCGCTCCGCGATCTGGCAAAAACGAAATATCCAAGTCTGAAGAAGCTGGCACAGCTGGTTCTCGGTATCGATATCCAACTCGAAGGCGAATCGCACTCGTCGGTCGAGGACGCCAGAGCCACCATGGCAGTGTTTCGCAGCCAAAAGTCCAAGTGGGACGAGATGATCCGGACCAAAAAGATTCCTGGAATGCGTGGCACTCACGAGACCCGTGGCGGTCCTTCTACGACCGGCGCCCACACTCTTGTTCAGACGCCCGCGCGGGGTGCAAACAACAAAGTCTGGCAGCCTCCGGAAAATGGAGCTGCCGTCGACGCCTCATCGCCCGCCCTTGCCCGTCGCAGCTTCAGCTCTCGCTCCAACGCCGCCGCCGCGAACAGCAATACGACCGACACGCCCGCTGCTGCATCTACCTCCACCATTCGTCTTAAACCGCGAATGGCCGCACAGGCTGACTGGTGGAAGGACGCCCTATAGACGTGGTTGCTCTTGCTCTCGTCTGCTCATGCGAATCAAAGTGAAGATCACGACCAGCCATAAATTTTTCCATCGTCATTTGTACTTTTAGCGTTTCTCTCAAACATCACCTCACTCAGTCTGCATGCAAATAATTTTTTGTAATCCTTCTTTGTCGGTGCAAGGAGCGTATTCTTCTAGAGTTGGCGACCGCCCATCGAGTTGGTCCAATTCTTCTGTGCGGAAAACGCGCATATTGTCGTAAATAATCTAGGTTTCCGTAATGTTAGACTCCATAGCTCAGTTGGTTAGAGCGTAGCACTGTTAACAATATATGTGTCCTTCTCCGATTTGTGTCGGGGATGCTGAGGTCGGCGGTTCGAGCCCGCCTGGGGTCGACAAAACGATTGAGCTTCCTACATTCTCATAACTAATGTCGAAGGATTTTTTTCCCCTTTTATTCTTTCTTGCTTCTTTGTTACACCCGGAACCCGATTATCTGCTCCTTGTGCTCCCTTCACTATACTTTCATGAGACGCGACCCAGCAAGTAGGGAGGATTTCCAGTTGGGGCTACGAACAAACCATAGCCGGGCAAGAAGACTATATGATAAGGTGTTTTCTGGATTAGATCAGAGGTGATAAAACTACAGCTAGAGTTGGGCGTGTAAAACGAGAGAGGTTGGATGGCGTGATCAAGAAGAGGCTCAGAAGAGGCATTGAAGAGCAGCGCCCGTGGACGAAGAGATTTGGGTGAGAAAAGCGCAAAGCCTACGTGGAGCCGGTGGATCAGGACGTGGATATTTGGTGATGTTATCATGTCAAAGTGTAGCCAACCAAGCATTTTAAGCAGCGGGGGAATCTCTGCGCGCCGACTGGTCGTGTTATTGCAAAGGTGCGGACACTACGCCGATGGTGCTTCCTCCTTCTTCTGCAGATGCGAGCCAATCAGCTTGGCCATTTCGAAGGAGTCGACGACGTCCTTGCCAAAGATACCTGAGAGCTTGCCGTCGCAGAGGATCTGTCGCTTGTTGCTCTCGTTCTGCAGATTGTTGCCTTTGATGTATGCCCAGAGCTGTTTGACAACCGCGTGTCGCGGCATTTCGTTGCCTCCACACACTTCGGCGAGCTTTGGGGAGAGTATGAGTGGACGATTGAAAGGATTGTTTGGATTCGCGGCGCGCTTCTTCCTCGGCTCGTCCTCTTCGTCCTCGTCGGTGGCTGCACGCTTTTTGGTGACCTTCTTCTTGGGCTTGGCTTCCGCCTTGACTTTGGTTCCATTGGATGCAGTACTCGACTTGGCGGTGGCAGCTTTGGAGGCTGCCTTGGGCGCCGCTTTGACAGGTGTTGGCGAAGCGCTGCTCTGCGCGGGGGTATGCCCGCCGCGAACACCTCCGAGACCTGGCAGTGCGAGTCCGCCTGACGGTGGTGCCGAATTGCCGCCATTGTAGCTGTGAGACGCCTGGGGCGGAGCTGGCATGGATTTCGAGATCTGATCGAAACAGTCGCGGATTACCTCGTCGACGGCTTTTTTGCTGGCAGACAGATCGAGAGACGCAGGTAGCGAGCCAGGTGGAAGCTGGGCTAGCTGCGCCCGGACCTTTTTGGCGGAGACAGAGCTAAGATCGGCATTGTTGAGAATCTGGATGATGGCCGGTCGCAACACGGCGACGATGGCTGTATCAAGCCGGGCTGGCTGGGACATGGTCGTGGCGTTTAGGAGAGCACAGCACGGAAGAGAAGATGGCTAGGCGGCCGTTTCGAGCGCAACGTGTGCTTTCTCGCGACGTGCGTAATGAATTCACAAGGACGATTCGCTGTGAGGATGATGGCCCCAATAAGATTTTGGAGCCCGTTATGCTGCAAAGACCGTGTTGGGTGCTGTACAGTCAAGCGCGTACGAGCAGAACCACCGCGACTAGCTAGCCAGTGAGAATGATCGAGGTCGTGCGCAGAGTCTGAGACGATAAAAGGTAACTTGAGGATGGCGTAGCGATGAGAGCTGAACCCAGAACACGCTTGTGGATGCAAAAGGCGGGCTGTCGAGGGAAGCCTGCGGCGGAAGACGGCAAAACGGCGGGTATGAACTGAACGTAGGAGAATGAGAGTCAAGGTAGCAAGGGGCGGAACGGAAGGAACGATGATGCAGAATTGCGGATTGGAGAAGGAAGCGGGTATGATTGAAGGTGTTGTGCAAGTGGTGCGGCTTTGAAAGGTCAAGCACAGCGATGACGCCCTTGGGCAAATGCAGTACTGTACAGTATACCGTACAGTAAAGTACAGTAGTACTGTACTAGCTGTATTTGGCTCGGTCGCGAGAGTAGTGGAGAGCAGTACAGTAGAGTGGAAGAAGCAAGCAGGCACGGTTCGCGCTGATTCGATTGACGGAAAGTAGACAGCCAAGCAAGTCGACTTGTACACTTGCAGAACGGTACTGTACCGCGCTCAGCAGACTACTGTACTACTGTACTGTAGCTGTATTGCACAGTCCAGTACTGTACCAGCCGGGCTGACACGCCGAGGCAAAGAAAAAGCCAATGGCGCGAAGCGAAATGGGCGCAGCCAACGGGACGCGAGAGCAAAAGCACGCCGAACAGACACACACACGTACAATATAATACTAGTACTGTATAATATTATTATTATTATAATAAATCAGTACCCCAAGGCGATCCTATTCTGCCTGCCTGACCGCGTCTGCCGATCTGCCTTGGGTTCCGCAGCGACGTTGTACATGCACCTCAATACGCTCTCTGGCATGTGTTTTTGTTGTGTCCAGGCGTCGTTGGCCTTCTGCGCTCGGTGTGGTGCATTGTTTGGTTGTGTCGCGTCGTTTTGCTTCTCCCTCAGCGTTGATGCGCTGGCTCGTCTCAGCCGGGGATAGACAGCAGCCTAGGTGACGGCAGGGATGCTCTTTTGAGCTTCTCACAGGCAGCTTCTCACATGCTGCCTGCAATACAGTACAACTACTAGCTGTATTCTGTACTGGTACGGTAGCGTGCTGAGCGTTGCGTGAGTGGTGAATAAAATACAACTAATAATATATATAATAAATAAAAATAATAATATACAATATATAAGAACGTACACAAGACAGCTTCTGCGTCTGAGCAGCATCCACACAGGCGCCATCCGAGGTCCGGTACAGTACACTGCTTAGTGCTTTAGAACTACCCACCACGAGGTACTGCACCGGCAAAGATTGCGGAGTTGCAGAACGGTTGGAAGCACGGCTAAACCGAAACACTAAGCTGCAACTCGACGAGCGCTGCACTGTACTGAAACACAGCAACGTACAAGTCCTATGTACTGTACTTTTGCTATACTGTACTACAATACAGTAGCTGAACCGTGTTGCTTCCGTTCTGGCTGCACAGTACAGAAGTACGTGACAAGCTGTGTGGGTAAAGTTGAATGCCACCACGCGCTGCCCTGCGTTGCGCTGCGTTGCTCTCCTGACTGCGATTCACACGGCTAGAACAGCAGACCAATTGGCAGACAGACCAACAACGTTTGAGCCGATACAGTTGAGGGTTGTATGGAGCTCGATTCATGTGGGCACGGTCAGTAAGCTGGCAATCACAGTGATGCCTTTGCACGGGTTGTGGATGGACTCGGTCGCTCGCTCCCTTTGATCTTGTTCGGTCGGGAATGCTTTCATGCAGCGCCAAAACCCCGCATCTCAACGCATCAAAGGAGCATACCGATTGCGTGGCCCTCGCTGCGCATGCTCCTTTCTCACTCTCTGCTGCACTAGTCTTTTTCTTTTTACACAAGATCGGGTGTGCCCGATAAGGCTCTGCTTCGGACTCAACCGAAGCTGGTCCCCCGCCTCGCCACCGCCCTTATCAGTCGTTGGACAGTCTCTGCTACGTTGGCGGTCCATGACACAGAACCAACTACAGGACTTTGTTCCCACCTTCCCTCTGCGTGAATGCTATTTGCGTCCGTATACTGTGCTGTGTACTACACGTCGAGCAGACGTGTGTTGGTCTTGCTCTATCCCACCTGCTTGAGCGAGCCTGAGTTGAGGAAAAAGGCAAGGTTTCGCCGCAGACACACGTTTAATTAATCTGACACAAGAAATGGAAGAAAGATGCGACCAAAGCCTGCATGCAGGTCGTGTGTACGGCATAGCATGGCCTCAATCTGCAACTCCACTTGCAATCAACCCAGCTTGACTTGGGGCCAAGTGGCCTTTCTGTGAGATTCAGGGGGAGAAACGCTAGTCGTCGCCTGGCCCGTGACCTGTGCCGGGCGGGAAGCTGCGTGACCAAAACTCGACCCTGATTCAACGTGGCGTTGCCGTCCTCCTTTCGAGAACAGTACAGGCACTACTGTACTGTCGTATTGTCGTACTGTTGTGTAGCGAGCGGTGCCGTGTGCACCACAGATACCACCGATATCTAAATAGGTTCAATGTGAGACGGGATGCAAGTCACGACTGCACTACCATTTCTGCTGTTTCCCATCTGCTGTCCATCAGTAGCTTTTTTGTCTTCCTCTGCAGCTGCTTGGCAGGCAAATTAAGCCGACAGAGCACCACCACTCCTCACTCCTCCAATCTCCCTACGGACGCATTCCGCCATGCTGTACCTTTAAAGTGTCGGTCTCTTTCGGTCCCGACGTCTGCAATCCAGATCCTCTAGATCCGTCTATAACACAGAGAGCTCAGGCTCGCATCCGCATCCGCATCGTACGGTGATTACTTTGTTTCGTGCTCGTTTGTGAAGAGACTCGAATTTCTCAGCACACCGGAGGGTCATGTTGCAACAGCACCAGCAGCAACAGCACCAGCAGCAACAGCAGCAGCAGCAGCAGTCGGTTCCGGGCTCGGGCCCATATACCGCAACTCAGCCTACACACGCCCGAAATCAGATGCACGCATCGCCATCATCCAGCTTGGAGAAGCCCATGCCGCCGCCACCACAATCACCCTCGGCTCTCTGTGGCCACCATCTTGCTCCCGACATGGACCAACGTCGGGGTCAAACAAATGGGGGTCGTCCCGTGCATGATTCCACCCGAGTCTACGAGCCGAACCAACCGCTTCGAGAGCTCTTTCTTCGCGTGCGGATACAGAGCATCGAAAAGGCCAAGAAGGATCTGCTCGTACGCTTCGACGCTGTCACCAACCTGCCGCACTTTCGCTCTTCGTCATACTCCGGCATCACCCGCTCCTATCGTGAGATGTGCCTCTACTCGCTCGCTCTCTCCCTATCCAGCCCCGCCACCATTGTGCCTGCCCTTCCACTTCCGTCTACCACCGCCAGCGGCCTTGAAGATACCCGAATCCTCCGACTCATGCTCTCCCGCTGGTTCTCCCGCGTCCTTGCCGAGCCAAACCTGCGTGACCACACAGAGACTCGCAACTTCATGGAGGCCGACTTTGCGTACTC